CTACCTCAAGAAGCTCTTGGGACCGAGTGGTTGGTTAATGTTAGGTTAGCAGACTTAAAGAAGAAATCAGAGAGAAAAAGAGAAAGCTTAATGCATCTTTATTAAAGGGGGGACAGGGTAGCTCCCAGGTGAGTTCCTCATCCTGGAGAGGGAGAATGGGAAGTCACACTGTGAACTTATTGGGGAGGATTTTTATAAACAGAGTCTTTAGGGAGGGACATTCCATTCTTATTTATGATCCACTTTCTAGCTCAGCCAGAGAAGCAAGGCTGTTTGCTCTTCTTATCAGCAGCAGGCAAGGCCATCTACATTTGAGTTCTGAATTCTTTATTCTTCTTTTTGACCCCTTTTTGCCCAGACTTAACAGTCAAGTGCTTGACTATTAACTAAACAGCCAGCAGTTGGACCCACCAGTCAGTCTGAGGGAGGAAGATGTGGCACTCTGCTTCTGTAAAACTTACAGTTTTAGAAAACATTTGATAGATTGTTTTGTTTTCTTTTCCCTTGGCTTTGCTTTAAGGGCATGCTTATAGGTGGGTGGTCCTGAGGACAGAAATGCCTCCTCTTCTTCTTCACACTGACTGACCACCATGATCTGAAGGTAAGAATTTGATCCCACCCAGGCTCTAGCACCACTAATAGTTATGCTCACACCCCACCAGCAACATAAAGAGCCATGTTGGTTAAGATGAACAGGTCTGCCTGCCTTTTATTAGGTATTGTGTCTTCTCAGTTGAAACTCAGCTCCTGGCTGTAGAGTTAGAAACAACTCATAGCTTATCCTTCAGTGGGTGTTCAGAAGTTGCAAATAGAATGGAAGGTGATTACCCATCTTTCTTTCACTGAGCAGCTGGTGGATTTGAACAACCAGAGAGATGCCACCTTTGGGTAGGCAGTACAATTTCTTATGATTCCTTCTGAGGAAGCCCATCTTGCTGAAAGGATCTTCTACCATATTGTTGTTATTGTTGTTATGTGCCATTGAGTCGCCTGTGACTTATAGCGACCTTATGTACAGCAGCTCTGAAGCCTGCCCTGTCCTGAGCCAGTCTCACTGACTTTGACACACCTATTCCCATTATCCTAGTTACTGTGTCAATCCATCTCATCTGGGATCTTCCTCTCCTGCACTGTCCCTTCACCCTTCTAAGCATGATGTCCTTCTCCAAGGAGTGATCTCTCCTGAACAGGTGCCCAAAGTATGTAACATGAAGCTTGAAAGTCCTAGCTACCAAGGAGAAACTTGGTTTCACTCTCTCCAGGACAGACTTATTTGTTTTCTTTCTGGTTAATGGTATGTCCAAGACTCTTCTCTGGCACCACAACTCAAAGGCATCAATTCTTCTTCTGTCATCCTCAGTCATTGTCTAACTCTCTGATGCATAGCAAGTAATTGTGAAGACCATGGCCAGGATCAGGTGCACCTCAGTGTCTAGACTGACGTTGTTGCTTCTCAGTACTCTGGAGAGGTCCCTAACAGTAGATTTTCCCAGTGCAATTTGTCTTTTGATTTCCTGACTGCTGGTGCTAAGAGTGTTGATTGGGAAGCCAAGTAAGCTAAGAAAAAAAAAATCCATGTTTTTCTTCTTGAGTAATTTATTTCTTGGATTTAGAAAGGCAGAGCTGATTTTTAAAAGTACATTATCTTCCCTACAAATACTGTTATCTGTGGAGAGTATTCTACTCTCATTTTTGGGTCAAGATTCATGATCATCATCTTGTTCAGAATGCCTGTGGGAATTTTACATCAAAGCCATTCAAAGGCAATGCCATCTCTAGGAGAATGTGAAGAGCCTCTTCTCAGCCCATCTACTTTTTGCACATTCACATGCTGCCTTGGGAGTTTTCTGAGTAAAGCACTCACACTTAGAAGTTGCATGTGGTGAGAGTCTCATTTACACAAGACAACAGAGATTCCACACAATCCATCATGCCACTAGTTTCTCATTCTCAGCGTAGAAAAAGAATTGCTTGGCTAACTTGTTTTCAAAACCATATGGTATCTAAGTTTCTGTACGTTTGTTTGTTTTTTTTAAAATAAAAAGCAACCTGGACAACACAGACCTACAGGGAAATATGACTAATTACATTTAAAAGGAAACACTGCTTAAGTCATTTATGGTCCCATCCTCACCCTTAAACACCAACTTCTGTCTCTCCAAGTGATATTCAGGCATTAGAAATTGGTTGTGTGATCTCAGAAAATAGTTTTCCAAGGATGTGTGGGATTAAAAAAGGGCTCCGGTCATGTGTGTGATTTTTCAAAGAGATGAGATGTGAGAGCACATCTAATCCCTCCAGTCTAGGTTAAGCTCAAGGCCTTCAGAATGAACAAACAGCTACCTGGTTTGTCTGTTCCTTCCAGTTACCTACCTTCTAAATGGACTGATGTTCTTAAATAATTAATAATTGGAGGGAAATTCTCAGCAATTAAACAAAAATCATTTAATTCACATGTAATCACAAGTGATGTTAGATGCCACCAAGTTGCCTTCTAACTCGTGACCATTCTATGTCCAACAGAACAAGACAGCTCCCAGTACTGCACCACCTTTATGATCTGTTACAGACGCATAGGGATGATTCAGAGGATTTTATTGACGGAAGTGTAGTACCAGGCTTTTCTCCATCACCCAGTGTAGTCCATAAACTCCACTGAGACTTACTCAGCATCATATGGTAAACCTTCACTGGCAGAAGAGTTTTCTGAGCACAATAGCTGATAGGAGTCAGGGGCCAGAATGTAGGGCCAGGCTTATCTGTGTTTTCCAGAAAGGAACCCTTGGTAAAAATGGCTACTGGAGAAGTGTGTTGAATATACCATGGACTGCTAGGAGAACAAAGAGTTTCATCCTAGAGAGGGTGAGCCCAGGTTGCTCCTAGGAGGCAAGGATTCTGAAGCTTTGTCTGACATACTTTGGTCATGTTGCAAGAGGGACCAGTCCTTGGAGAGGGATGCCATGCTTGGGAGAGTTGAAGGACAGTGCAAGAGAGGAAGACCCTCGATGAGATGGATTGATTGACTCAGTGACTGGGGTAATGAGTGTAGGAGTGTCAGAGACAATAAAATTGGCACAAGATTGAGCAGGGTTCAGAGCTGTTGTTGTGCAAAGGGTCACTATGATGGCATATAACAAACAACCAGTAGCATAATCTTGTTTACATGCTTGAAGTAGATTTTTCATTTCTTGAAGAGTTTTTTTTCTCAAACATTAACTTAGCCATATTCTTCCCCACTTTCACACAAAAAATAGTGAAGGATCATTAGGGAAACAAAGGGTAAGTCTTCACAAGGGGATCAAAGTCTGGATGGTGAAGTGAATGGCTGAAATAGCTTGGGCTGGGGAATATGGTAAACTACGGTTGATCTCAAGCTGATGGTTGTCGGTTAGAGAATATGGTAAACTACAGTTGATCTCCAGCTGATGGCTGTCATGTTGGTAATCAGGCCCAGTGTTGCTTGGTCTGAAGATGATTTTACTGAAATGTGAATATCTTACATACTTTTTAATTCCAAGTTCTATTTAAATGTATAAACATTTTCTTTAAATTTTCCTGGCTGTCAAACTAACAGTTAATATAATAAAAAAAATTTCTGAGGGCCAAAACTTCTAAGTTGCTCTGTGTGACCTCAGCTCTTCATAATTGCGAGTAAATAGTGTTTTTAGAAGAAATCCACCAAGGCATAGAGTTGGAGAGAAGTATCTTTATTACCAGGAGGCCTTGTAATATTTCTACCTTTGTTCGAGATACACAAAAGAAGTTGACAAACTATTGGAGCTGGAATATACAGATAGCCTTTAAATGATCACTCTTACGTGCAATCTGTTTAAATACCTATCTTTCAACATTTTAACAGTTGTTCCCTCCTGTTTCTAAGACAGGATGGATGAAACTCATGTGCAAAGCCTTTCCATTGACATCTACAGGCTCCAAGCGGGGACAGGAGTTACAAACAAGCCCTTGGTCATTACCTAACGTTACACCTTTACCTCTTGTCTAAGAAAGTATACGAAGCCCTGGTTGTGTAGTACATGTCAGGCTGCCAGCTCTGAGGTCAGTAGTTCAAATCCACCAGGTGCTCTTCAGGAGAACAATAGGCTGTTTTATGATGATTTACATAATCAAAGGTAACAGTGAATCGTAATCTATTTGATAGCAGTGAGTAAAGACTGCTGAAATAATTATTAGAGTCTAAATAAATGTGTGTGTTAAAAGCACAGAATGACCTTCAGTTGATCCAAATTATTTTTTTAAAAAGGACACCCATCACAAAGGCTGATATTTTACTTATTATTTATCATGAAGCACTTGTGAGACCTTTACAAACATCAGCACAACATGGTGAAGAACTGTTTCTTTAAAAAAAAAAATAAATATGAGGATGTTTTTGCTTAACTTCCCAGACATATTAACTCTCTGTGTCTGATCTTTTAATCCAACGCTTGGTTGACCATGTTGTCTCCTCCACTTCACTTGGTATATTCACTGTTAGAATACCTATTATAGGATCTAAGGAATGCCTCCAGACATAACTTGGAATGCTAAGATAGGACAAGACAAACAAAGACTGGTTTTCTTAAGCAACCAGTGAGCTAGAAGCCAACCATCCTCACTTTCCTTTGTACCAATCCACATTTGGGCTCTTATCTGGATGTTGTTAAACTAAGTCTTGCCCATCATTAACAATAGAGAAACAATAGAGGCTCGTATTATCATTCTTTGCTCCAGAGATTGATCCAGAGAGTGCAGAAGCTGAATACCAGCTCTTTCTCTGTTTGGAATGTCCACTTCTTTTCCACGGTACTGGGAACGGCACTGGATAAGAAATCAGACTCAAGGAAGAAGACAGAGAGACAACTGGCAATCAGCTCGGGACAGTGCATCTGGATTTAAAGGCAGACTATAACAAAATGGGAACAAGTGAAGTCTATCTTTAGCCCAGGTCACCATAGGGAACCAACCTAACCTATTTACAAGTGGTCTCAGGAGAGAGACCTTTAAATAGCAATCTTGTCGTCGTCCTTTTCATCATCTTCGATGATCACTTTGGGTTTCTCATCCCTGAGTAGTCTCACACCTGCAAAACAAAGCACACACCTACAATTAAATGCCTCTAATTAAAATATTAGAATGATCTTAGAGCATACATGCAGTTCTAGAAAAAAATGGCAACCCCAGAGCACCTGCAGAACTACAGGTGCCAAGTAGGAGGGAGAGCTCTGATTAGCCTTATTTAACTTGTGCTTCTCACCAAAGGCCGTGATTCTGATATACTAGCGGCTCCAGGAGACAAGGATGGGCAGTTTCCTCTGGCTGAGACTCATAGTCTCAGAAAGCAGATGGGTGGCAGCAGGGAGCTTGAGTTGAGTGGGAGTTGCTTGAGCTTTGTGCCTGGCTACACAAGGGCATGAAACCTGAAAGTCAAGTACACTCTTTTAGCATCTTTTCTGAGTTCAGCTCCTAAACTTGCAGGGATGGAAAGAGTATGGGATTTGGAGTTGAACAGTTTTGGGCGTCCAGTTCTGCTCAATCAATGAGAGTAGTGCCAGTTGATATCTTCATACTTGAAAATAAAGGCACTAGTATTTATCCAGAGGTCCTCAGGTGGTGTGATTCATTGACAGTTGTGCTGCTGACCCATTGGTAACTCCTCTCGGTTGGTTCAAAACCATTAGTGACGGAGAAGATGAACAGTCTCCTTCCATGAGATGTATAATCTCAGACAGTGTCTGGACTTAACAGTAATGAGTTTTGGAGACTATTTATTTTGAAGTGTGTTTGTACATTTTAATAAGATATATGAAATGCTTAGCACTGACCTGTACCTGTGAGCAACAAAAGTCAGTTCCAACTTTCCTTTCACAATATTCTGTACAATTGTCCTTTTGAAAAGAACTGATATGCCTCAAAAAGTCAAACTACAAAACGTCATTAATATCTAGGGAAAATGATTCAGTCATGTGGGCATGTCATCTCTGAATGTTGACATCAACTGATGATAAAGCTTACAGGGTTAGAGCAAGATAAGAAAATAAGAAAAGCTATTTTTTTCTTTCCATGTTGTTCTTTTACTTTGAAGCATTAAAATATCCTTTGTGTGTGTGTGTGTGTGTGTGTGTGTGTGTGTGTGTAAAATTTGATATATGGCAAATAGGTTGGTTTGGTTCTTTTTTTAAAAAAAATCCTTATTAAGCACAAATTGATTTTCAAGGAGCATCAGAAAATAAATAGAGTTAAGACATTTAGAAAACAGTAAATTAATGCTAATGGTGGAAGAAAATTCTAGAAAAGGAGGGTGAAAATGGATATACAACTTATATAACTTGAAGAATGTAATCAGCATTACTGAATGGTGCATGGTTATATGTCATGAATCATATAGGTCACGCATATCCGCCACAACCGAAAATGAAAAAGAAATTACTTCAAAATGGTACAATTACTGCTTTGAATCCATAGTATCTTGCTTCTGAATCTTCATTTGACTGTGAATTCACAAGTCTGAGCACAATTTAATTAGCCCAAATTGGGGCTCTCAATAGCTCTGTTCATAATCTGAAGTGTGACGTAAGGCCATTTTAATAAAAAGACAAAGCTATGATCTAAGACTCATCTTTTATGGTTTCAGTCTCCATCCCAGCCATATAACAAGTTTTGATCTCCGTGCCCCACTACCTGCTTCCCTCCACCACTCCTAATTATAGGCCTTTCCATTCATGAAGCATTTGATAAAGATCTAAACTTGAGGAAGGGATGCTGTGCACTGCAGGGGCCTTTCTATGACACTGGACTCCATTCAACAGCAGCAAATTAATGAAAATGATGTCCTGATCTTAATGACTATTCATTTGATTCAGTTCCTTGTTTGTTCATATGGGTTCTTTACCAATTAGCTGATATTTATTGGAGGAGGAAAAACAATTTCAAGAGGATGGTTGAAACTAAGGCTTTTGCATAAATCACAGAGGAAACACAGTAGGGAATATTACATTTTACAAGCTGCATAGAAGTTTGGGTTTTTATTTGGAAGTCGGGCTAAAAGGATAGGACAAAATAGTTATATTAATCTCACTAAGCCTAATCCTATTGTTTTTCATCTCTGCTTGTGTTAAACCAAAATTGGGTTAATTTAAAACAGACAAGAGCCTTTAAATTCTTGGATATTGGCCAACTTTCTGGTTGCTTGCATTTCTTGAAATGTAATCATATAAGAATTGAAGCAAAAAAAGTGCTGAGATTTCAGAAATGGTAAGTAAAAAAATGATTATACAAAGACATTAGACTGTGCGGATCTTAACAAATTATGGATAACACTGAGAAGAATGGGTATCCCGGAACACTTAATTGCACTTACAGGAAACCTGTGTGTAGACCAAGAAGCAATTGTCTGAACAGAAGATAACATGGCATATTTTAAAAGGAAGAGAGATGTGTTTCAGGATTGTATCCTTTCTCCATGTCTATCCAATCTGTATGCTGAGCTAATCATTCAACAGGCTAGGACCATATGACAAAGAATACACATGTGGATGGGAGGGAGACTCATCAATGATCTAAGGTTATGCAAATATCATTACTTTATTTCCAAAAAGTGAAGAAGACTTGAAACACTACTGTAGAATATCAAAGACTACAGCCTTCAATATGGTTTACATCTCAATATCAGGAAAACAAAACCCCCTCACCACTGGACCAACAGGCAGCATCATGATAGATGAAGAGAAGATTCGAGTTGTCAGTAATTTCCTTTTACTTAGATCCACAATCAACACCTATGTAGCAGCACTTAAGAAAGCAAAAATATGTGTTGCATTGGGGAGACCTGCTGTCAAGCATCTCTCTTAAGTGCTGAAGAACGATGAGGTCAACTTAAAGACTAAAGTGTGTCTGATTGAAGCCACAGTCTTTTCTATTACTTCCTATGTATTTGAAAGATGAACAATGAATTAAGATGACAGAAGGAAAATCAATGCCTTTGAACTGTTGTATCACAGACTGCTTAAAGAACAAATATTGCTATCTTGGAGCAAATGCAACCAGGGTGCTCCTTAGGGTCAAGAATGGTGGAACTTTGTCTCACATACATTGTGTGTGTTGTGAGGAGTGGCCAGTCCTTGGAAAAAGACAAGATACTGGAAAAGGTAGAGGATCAGAGAAAGAAGAAAACCTGCAACAAGAGGGATTGACACAAGTCTGTAAGAATGGGCTGGAACCTATCAAAGATGTAAGGATGGTACAAGATAGGACTAGGTTTAGATCTGTTGTTCAGAGGATTGTTATAAAACATAGTGGATTCGATGACATCTAAAAAATAACAACATTAATAACAATAACATTAGGTCTGGTGACTTAGTGGTTAAGAGGTTGTGCTACCAACCCTAAAGCAGGTGGTTCAAATCTATCTGCTGCTCCAGAGGAGAAATCTGGGAGCTCTTCTTCCATGTGATACATGTGGAAAATCTTCTGGGGTGTCAGACATGAATAGGTTCCACTTCAAAGGCAATGAGGTTCTTTTGTTTATCACTTCTGAATTCTTTTACTTGACACTTCATGCCATTAGTTTAGTGAGTTGAATTTGACGGAAGTTTTGGAAACAATGATCTAGTTTAAACTCTACTAATCCTCATGTTCTCCTGTGCAAAAACGTATATATAGACTTTTAGTCAGAAAGCTTCCCTCCTTGTTGAGCATTCAACTTTGAGCAGGTCACATAATATATCTGAGCCTCAGTTTATTTGTCTGTAAATTTAAAAAGATTATTTTAATTTCCCAATTTTTATTAATATCCTTAGGGTGACTTCTTGTTGTTGTTAGGTGCTATTGAGTCAAGTATGACTCATAGAAGCCCTACAAACGACACATCTGAACTCAGTCATATCCTATGCCATCTTCATCATCTCTGACACTTGAACCCATTGCTGGAGTCACTGTGTAAATGCATGAGAAGGGTCATCCTTTCTTTCATCAACCCTCTACCTTTCTAAGCATGCTGTCCAACTCCAAGTACTAGCCTTTTCTAGCAACATGCCCAGCGTATATGATATGAAGCTTTGCCATCCTTGCTTTCAAGGAGCAATCTGGCTGCACTTTTTCAAGAAAAATCTATTTGTTATTTTGGTAGCCCATGGGATATTCAGCACTCTTCTTCAACACCAGATCACAAAGACATCAAGTCTTCTTCTATCCTCCTTATTCATTATCCAGATCTCAGAGGCATAGAAAGTGATTGAAAAGACCATCGCCTGAAATTAGGAGCACCTTAGTCTTCAAACTAACATCACTGCTCCTCAGCATTTTGGAGAAATTCCTGACAGCTGATTTTCCTAAGTAGACCTGTTGTTGTTGTTATGTGCCTAGGCCACTATTATTTCATAAGCTTCAACAACTCCTTGAATTAACCTCCAGTAACAGATTTTGCTTTGCATGTGGAACTGTCGGATAATACATTTTTCTCTCCTACTGAACCATGTTATTCTCAAAGATATTTCTAGCATCTAGCACGAGACTTCTTCATTACACTGGTTCTCCATCATATGCTATAGCCTGAAATATGTCAGTGTCAATCAATTCTTTTTTACACAGTGACTGTATATTTTGATGTTTCATTCATCATTCACTGTTTTGAGTCAAATTTATCAGTACTGAAACTCCAGGCCTAATTTTTTTTAATTGCATGCTCTGAATTTTATTTAAAAATAAGAATAGGTACACATACAGAAAGAACACTTCTTGGGTAGTTGAGGATGGTGGGAAAAATGGAATCACAATCTAGATAGTGTTGCTGTTATTAGGTGTTGGTGGGTTGACTACAACTCACAGTGACCCTTTGAACAATGGATCTGAGCCTTGCCCTATCCTGTGCCGTCTTCATCAGCTCTGAGATAGTTGACTCTATTGTTAGAGTCACCATATTGATGCGTCTTGTTGCATTTTTAATGCTTATGGGTACAGATGCTCAGGCTTAAATTTTTAATTCAGTGCCTTCAGCTTGAGAAATGCTGAGCATATTCTTCCTTTTTTGTCTTATAAGTCCAAGTCTTTGCATGTTTAATTAAAATATTTTATTTTGTCTTCTTG